AGATGATGTGGCTATGCAATTAAAAAAATTTCAAATGGTTGAAACTCCATATTGGGCACTAAATCAAAAAGTTGCAAGACTAATGAACCAATCATTAAAAATATTTTTTTCTGTGAAGTCTCCAAAACCTCCCCAAGTGGAAACCTCCCTAAGTAAAAATTTTTTCCTGGTCCCTTGAAATTTGACATAGAGAGGTTTGACTGTAATTCCAATGCAAATCTCAAGGGAATCAAATTTTATAATATGTGACATATTTAGGAGTCAAAGAAAAGCCAAAAACACACATATTTTTTCAAGTCTTATAAACGTCGCTGTTTTTCAAAAATTATACTTCGTGATGAAGACTTTTAAACAATCATGCAGTTATTTTACAAATTTTTTTTCATGCTTCAGTCAAGAAAGAATTGGAAATGGATGCAGATGTTTATCGTGTCCGAAGTCCAACACGTGATGAGGGTGGATTCTTTGGAAAGTTCTCACCCAATTTACCAAGAAGTCTTCAACCCAGATCAAATTGTGGAAATGTTCGATGATATATCCTACGGCAAAGGTGAGATCAACCTGGAAGAAAACCAGGCCAGAGGTTTAAACCGGCTTCAACCCTTAGGGAATTTTGACCACCACTTATGGGGACCAGCTACCATAGTTACCAAACTTCTTCTTGTCTAGTTCTTTCCTGCTGAATTGACCAGAAGGAATTGGGGTCAATTCAGCAGGATTTTGAAATGCACATTATCCTTGAACTTCTGCTGCACCTGCACTTCCAGCCTCAACATTTTCGCAGCTCTTGAAAATGTTGAGGAAAACTTTAAATGTGGACTGTACAAAGAAGGTTTGTATACTATGACTTTCAACCCTCCTGCTACTAACCGAATTCGATAATTATGGGATAAGAGTCTGAATGGCACCTTGCTGATCTTCTCCTGAAAAGGAATGCATTTTTGATGAGCCTGTGAACCATCCCAGGACAAGTAAAAACAATTTCCTAGAAACTGGTCAATCTTGACCTCCAGAAATAATCTTAAGAATCAATCTTTTCTCTGAACAGCTATTTTTCTCCTCATTCTGAATTGCGCAGTTGATTTGAACTGATTTCCAAAGAGAGCAGTTTGCAATTTGCATATTTTTCACAAGTGTTGTTTGAAATTGTCCCTTTTTGAATCTAACCCAACTAATTCAATCTTTGAAAATGTACTTCTCTTTTTTTGCAATACAAAAACTTTTTACTAGGACAAAAGGTTCCAGCCATAGCCAAGCTGATTGGTTTGTTTTCTCATTCCATCTTCTGAGTTCTAGCAATTTCAGTACATCTTGAATTTCAATCCTTTAAGTTTCTCAATTTCTCAGCTGAGCCATTCTAGTTATTAGCGACTCAATTTTCAGCTATCTTTTGACTTTGTGAGCAAACCTATCACAAAAAGAAAGCTGCAATGAGCTCCATTTTTCTTTTCACCTTCTTGAAGGTTCTGCCATCATTTGGATGATGAACAACTTCTTGACAGAGGCAACTTTCAAGAAGGGCTTGATTTCGTATCTGAAAGACAAGAGCTTTTCCAATGCGGAAACGGAAGATTTGTGGAGGTATTTGGACTTGGCTGCTCATGATGACAAAAGTCTGCCTGATGATCTTTCAGTCAGTCAAATCATGAACGCCTGGACGAGACGCACTGGGTTCCCGGTTGTGACACTGACCAGAGACCCCAAGCACAACACTGCAACTCTTACCCAAGTAATTAGTGGGGCAACTGATTATTACTAATTTATTGTTTTATGCTGTGATTTTTTTGGTTGCAAAAATTCTGTTACAGAATTTTTAACCCAAATTTAAATACTGTACCTCCATAACTCAAAACCTACCCCTACCCCCCCCCCACCACCCAAAGTCAAATTTTTTCAGGTCCCTGTCTGAATCCCCTTAGATACAATACATTAAAAACCTCCCCAAGTTGAAAGCTTTTCCCCTCAAACCTTCCCATGATTCAAATTTTCTGTGGCCTGTAGGCTATTATTTTCTTCACTCAACAGAGGAAAAAAACAATAAAAACAGAAATTGATGTGTTTTGAAAGGAAGTGAAAGACTTAATTGGGCAATAATGAACCCTTGCCTCCAAGTTCAACATACAGTAAACTCATTTAAGAAGCAATTGAATAAGCCCCAGAATATCACCATTCTCAACTTTGGCAATTCTTCAACGTTTCCCAGAACAAAAGGGCTTTGTTTTGCATAGCTCAAACCTCTATAATTCAAAACCTCTTTAAGTCAAATGTTTTTCAGGTCCCTTGAATTTTGAGATGTTCAGCATGTATCAATAAGAACAAGACTAACTTGAAGCCTAATTGTCAGGAAAAAATTCAAACTTCAAGTAATTCTTGTAACGATTTAAGGCGCCAGACAAAATTAGCAGTTAATCTCTTGACACATTTTTTCGTGAGCCTCAGGACCAAACCCAGGTTCAGCTCCCATGCTCACCCAAGGACATTTCCTCACTGCTTAAAAAGGGAAGAATGAAAGTGGCCAAAATCCAGCCTTCATTTCTAATCCAGAAAGTTGTTGTGGTTAACTAAAAACCACAAGTTTGTCACTCTGAGTTTTGCTGCAAACCCAGTTGGATCTCCAGAGAATATGCTCTTGTGCAAAATCACCAATTCCAAAATTTGTTACAACAAATTGTTGAACTTCTTGCAAAAAGTACTTTAACTAATTGTCTTTACTGTCTTGTTTGTGCCAATAATATACCATTTTATACTAGGATGAAAGTCCCGGCTGTTTAACTTAGTTCACATTTCTGCTAATTGCAAAGGTCCTGTCTTGAAATTCTTCAGGTTTTGAAGTGTCCAAATTTCAACTTTCAAATCTTCAGAAACAAATTTTTGTCTTTTCTGCCTTTTGTGTAGAGGAAACAGTTTTCCCTCACACTAATTGTGGCCCAAAAATTGTAAATCCGGGAACTGATGGAGAAAATGTTTAATATAAGAGTGATGTAATGGAATGCATTTTCATCCAAAAGAATGCATCAAATTCTTCATTTGAAACTTCAAATGACAAACTTTNAACTGGAGGGAAAATGGTTGTCAAGGCATGGAAATGGGTATTAAAGGGACAGCATAAAAGTAAATTTGTTTAAAATCTGTTCTATAGGGGGGAAATTTTAAAATCATTTTGTTTTGGGAAACCATCAAGTCCTGAATATTTCTCATTCCTATAAGTCTAAATTTAAATATGTCTATGATCTATCTATAATTCTTCATATCTAAAAATAAGAAAGAGACTGATGTCAAACCTTCTGCTGCGCAGAGATGGTTAAACCCAGAAGCTGTTAGATAAATATTTTTAAAGTAAAATGGATTAAATGAAATGCTTTTGCAAAAAAAATGGAGTGTGTCCAATTGTTGTTGGAGGACGTTTTGAAATACATACTTTTGAATGGAATGCATTTAAAACTTTTGTAGCCTAGAAATGGTATATCCAGTAAGTGATGGAGAAATGGTTTTCTGAGGGGAATGGAATACTATAATTGAAAGAATGTGTCCAATTCTTTGTTTGAAACTTTAAATGACATACTTTTGAATTGAATGTAAAGTATTTGAAACTTTCTGTATACACAGCAGATATTGGAGAAATTTTTTAAAATCTTTTTCTCAGTGAAAATGAATTTTAAAAAGCAATAGCAGAGATAAATGTGTATACTGTATTTTGTGATCTGTTCTATATAGGGAGGCATTTTAAAAATCACGTTGTCTCAGAAAACTGTTAGGTCCTGAATATAAATTTTTTTCCACAATTTTCAGGCTCGATTCTTTTTTCAACAAAGCTTCAGGGACCAGAGTTCAGAGCAATGGTTCATCCCCATCAACTTCAACGCTGCCATTGGCGACTTCAAGAGAACCAGGGCCAGTCATTGGCTCAGACCAAATGCTCCTCTTACACTCACTGACAAGGACCTG